GCGGGGAACTCTGCAAAAAACGCATCTTCGCACGGGCAGCCCGTGCGTTGGCCATTTATTTCGGTTCTGATGAGGGCAGTTTGAGCGATCCTTGCAACAGTAAGAACTGCAAGGATGGTCTTGGCGTGATAAGAAGTCCCATTTAAGGTTAAAGGAAAAATAAAAGAAAGGATGGTGGAAAAAATGAAAAGAATTATTAAAGTAGGTAAGAAATGTTTGGGTCCATTAAGCTGTATACATTTCTTACCGTTACCACAGTTAGATTTCGTCAGTAGGACGACTGTAGTAACAATATATGGTTGGTCCCAGTGATGATAAGAGAAATGGAGATTTTTTTTGGATGCGGTAAAATCTTGCTGGGGATGAGATTGGTCGGAGTGGTCTTCACAAAAAGTAATTTAGATTTTCGTGGTGATAATGAGATCTTTTGGGTTGGTGTTGATTGTGATAAAAGGTGAACCAGTGGTTCTGGTGATATCAAGGATTGTCAGGATGGCTTTAATTGTCTTAGGTGATAAGATTAGGCAAGATGATCTTATCTTCGATAAGTTGTGTGGATTTTCTTAGTGATAGTAAGAGTTATCAGTATTCTTTGATGATAAGTATTCTTTGATAGTCTCAGGGGAGGTATGAGTAATCTGGATGATCTTGATGGCGGCAGTCCAATTGCCCCTTTTAGTTATGATTATCCATATCTTCAAATTTTCATTTATCATCAGTTTTAACTTCAAGAAGGCTTAATTTAAGCCCTCTCCTCTCGGTGTACACAGCTGGCCTTTTTCGGTTAAACTAGAGTTTGACAGTGATATGGATGCAAACTGCTGTTGGAATCCGAAGCAGTTCTTTTACTGGATGATACCACGAGTTTATTAGTACGATTATTCTTAAGACCGGGGCCTAGGTGACAGTCGGATTCGTGCATCAGCCTGTGGATACTAACTCACTAGTATGAAGAATATGCTTAAGTTCGGAGTCGAAGTTGTAGAAGTTTTTTGAGCTGAAATTTTCCTGTTCATAAACTAGCTTAACCTTGACCTTGAGCAGTATCGCTGAGGATTCTCGTATTGCGTAATCGTAGCAATAAATGCCTAAATACTTTTCAGAATTTTTCTCTTTAGACTCTTGCAAACCCGCTTCACCATGAAAGTAGACATCGCCGGGCTCCCCTCCTCCCCCCATCCGCTGACCAAACTTTTTTCACCCTCCCCCTCTTTTCATTTGCCTGTACAACATTACTTAATGGTAACTGAGTACCTAAATACATCTCAAAATTTATCTTCTTAGGTCCTTGCGAATTACAAGATTTACCAACTGAAGGACCACCGGTACGATATTGGCAGTTTGAACGTACACCACTGAAACAGTGGACAGCCAGGTTTTTGTGTCCTTCCGATATGGAACAGTACGAACGCAATCTTGCTTATTTTGAAAAAGCACATATACTTTCCAGATGGAGGTTCGTTTCTCTTCCATACTTTTCCATTTTTATGCGTTTTTGCTGTGCAGCGCTGTAGCGCTGCTACAGCCAGCAAAATTTTTCCACAAAGCGAGCATTTGCCGAAAAAACGACTGGATTTCATGCAAAAAACCGGTAATCATGCAGCTGGATGTTCATGCAGCTCTATAATGCACCACCTTCATTCCAACTGACGCCCTTCCTCCTGCATGCCGGAAAGGATCAAAGCACGGCCAATATGAGCCCTAGTGTTAGGCGGCAGCGTAGGGATCATTCTTGCTAACAGCCATCTGCGAGTTTAGTGCAAAAACGCATGATCACACCGGAGAGCCTGGTACCTTCCAGCCTGGGTTATTGTGTATGCATGTTTGTGTGCGTGTATATGTGTGTGTGTATATGTATGTGCGTATATGTGCATATGTATGTACTTCTATGTGTGTGCGTGTCTGTATGTGTGTGTGTGTATGCCTATTGCACTTGTGTTGAATGTCCTTTATTGCTTTCGTTCCTAGTTTACTTTTTTATGCCAGGTAAAGGTACTCAAGAAGGGGCTAAGTTGTAGCATGCGGCAGCAGATCATCCTCCGTTTCCGTTGAAAATGCTATCCATAGTTATCTCTTCAGCGACAATTGCTTAGAAGCGTCCAGATGGCAGTGTCGAGCCTCAAGCATGTACTAGCACCAGTTTGTCACCAGAACAGTGATTCGAATCATAGAGGAATTCGGGGTCCAGCTTTCTAAAAAAAAAACCGAAAGTAGCGTTGTCCTCTTTAACTGGCCGCTGGTTTATATGCAGGGAACATTTTCAAATTATTTTTTATGTCTGAAACATTTTGATAAATACATGAAACATGTCACTCTGCCAACTATTTCAGACGAAGTGAGCTGATTCGAATAACCCTTTAGTTGATGCTTCTTCAGGAAGTAACCATAACGCGATGTTTTTTTTTTTTTTAAAGCCAAATTTTGTACTTTAAAAATACTGGAAGGTTTAGAGGTCGGGCGTCCTTTTGTGATAAGTCTGAAAAACTTAGTCCTATATTCAACCCAGTGCAGATTTTTAATCGAGTTATTGCTAAGATGTCTAAGGAAAAATCGAGATAGATTTAATTAACTTCCAGGAAAATTGAGCAGCGTGTGGAGCATTTGCAAGGTGAACGATGGGATTACAAAGCTTGGTGGTACGAGCCAGTTTCGGCGGTTTGGACTGACTATGGAAAGTGGGCCGCTGAACGGATAAAAAATCAGCCATACGAACTTTAGGCAGTGTAGAACTTTGTTCTATTAATGTATTTATATTTGTATGCTAATCATTTTCAATAAAAATTTCAACAAACCGTTGTCTTCTCATAACTTCATTGTTCATTAGACGGACAAATGTTTTTCTTCACTGATACGCTTTCGGACTGTGTCGAATAGTTAACGTTGACTGACGGCCATAGGTTGAAGAGTTGACTGGAGCGCCTAGACTGTGGGAGTCTTTTCGAAATGTAATTTTCAAATAACCTTACTAGATATTTGATGACAAGGGATGAAACCTAGACTGTGCCTAGATTGGTAGCTAACATGGCTTATCCGGTGAACCACCGACGAAAAAAAACGAAAACAGAACTATATCTGCTACATGTTAGTTTTACTTTTGCTTCCGCAACACTAATCTTCTATACACCCAACTTTATTTCCCTCCCTTCCTTCATCTTCCTTCGGTAATCTACATGTTCCTTTTAACATACCGGAATGGGGCATTGTACTGATGATTCCCACCTCATTCTGTACCGTTTTTGCCGTCTGTGTTTACAGCTCAGGAATGAAACATAGGCAGATCGTACAGGTTTGCTTATTTGGGAGATCTAAATGTCACTTCCAGTTTCTCATCAATTGTCAAGATACGATTGTGTTCCCCTCTGCGATGGGCCAGTAACGCAAAACAAACTGCATATGTTTAACACATAGAAAATTTCAGGCCTACGTTCTCTTCCAATCTCCTTGCCAAGAATATTCACTGTTTGTATAAAATTTCTATAACACTTAATATGTGGTACCTTGGTCCATCTTTTGGGTCTTCTTTCTTCAGCTGCAGTCGGCACTAAAAGTTGACTTTCTTTTTGCGAGTACAAGAAGAAGCATTCTTTATTCAGTCCTCTGCACTGAATAAACTAAAATTGCAGAAAACAATTATCGCAACATATCCACAGTGATGATAAGCCCGACAGTTGAACAAAAAAACAATTTTCAAGCAAAAAAAAAAACATAAAACAAAATTAGGCTTGCAGAAAATACTCCTAGTTCGCATCACTGCCAGTCAGATTGAGCTCCGTGATGACTTGCCAAAATGGTAAAAAAAAAATTTGTATTTCGGATATGAGTTGGTCAAATACGTTCAAAATGGAAAGTATTGAAAACTGTCCGAGTTCAAAAAGACAAAGAAAGGCAAACGTATGTTTAGAAAAAGTCGAAAATTATCGAAATGTAAAATTCCCTCTCCCCCCTTACACTTCAGTAATTCCTGAATGTATAAAAATCCCCCCTCCCCCCGCTCCCCTCCCACTCTGTCTCCCCTTCTAACATCAACATGAAGGAAAGGAAGAATAAAGGGGGCATTTTGTATTACTTTGGCAAAAGGTAGGACCAAGTCGTGCTTGCACTTCAAGCTGATACTGAGAGAAGGAAATATCAACCGCATCATGCACGACTCTCTCGCATACTTGTCTCTTAGTAAAATGTATAGATTGTTATGCATTTTTTGCAGCTGTGCAATGCAGAAAACGCATGTTGACGAGGGGTTGTCGGTGTGTGTTTGTGTCCGTTTGTGCATCTGTCACGGTTCTTCATCTCAAGGCTACAGGGCTGAAACTTTGGGAACTTAATCTAAATGTACGTATGGGCCCCAATCCCCAAAATGGGCACCATTGCCTGTGTGGTGCCCGCGTACGGGCCCGCCAAAGTTTTTTACGGGTAGGTTGATAACTCGGGGATCCGAGAAGCTAGAAAGCTGAAATCTTAGGGAGATGTTCCCCGTTCAAGCAGGTATTAATGAGCTCAAACCCAGCGCCCGGGTAAGCATGGTACCCGCGTACAGGCCCGCCAAAATTCTCTCTGGTAAATTCATAACTCGGGGATCTGAAATGCTAGAAAGGTGAAATCTTAAGGGGATGTTCCCCGTCCCAGTAGGTATTAATGAGCTCAAACCCAGCCCCCGAGCAAGCGTTTTACCCGCGTACAGGCCCACCAAAATTTTTTTCGGGTAAGTTCATAACTCGGGAATTTGAAAAGCTAACGGATTGTAATTTTAAAAGGATATCCCATGTTCACATAAGCCTTATTGAGCTCAAACCCAGACTCCGGGTACGCGTGGTACCCATGTACGAGCCCACCAAAGTTCTCGGGTAAGCTGCTAACTCGAGAACCTGAAAAGCTAGAAAACTGTAGTTTTAAGAGGATGCTCGCCGTCCACGTAAGTCTCAAAGGGCTCAAACCCAGATATCGGGTATGCGTGGTACCCCAGTGAAAGTCTTTTCCAGTAAGCTGTTAACTCAGGAGCCAGAAAAGCTAGGAAGCTGAAATTTTAAAGGGGTGTTTCCTGACAGTTTCAGCGTCCAGTCTTAATTTGTTAGGTAGAAGCATTTGCCGAAAAAACCAGTGCCGCC